CCTCTTGGCCACGGCATCCCTTTGGACCCCCGTCCCCGTCGCCTCCTTGACCACGCCCTCCTCTACCCTTTGGCCCCCCTTGGCCACGTCCTCGGCCCCTGAAGCCTTGGCCACGCCCTCCTCTACCCATTGGGCCCCCTTGGCCTTCTTCGTCCCCGTCGCCTCCTTGGCCACGCCCTCCTCTACCCTTCGGGCCCCCTTGGCCACGTCCTCGGCCCATAAAACCTCCTTGGCCACGTCCTCCTCTACCCATTGGGCCCCCCTGGCCTTCCTCGTCCCCGTCGCCTCCTTGACCACGCCCTCCTCTGCCCTTTGGGCCCCCTTGGCCACGTCCTCGNTACTAGTAGTAGTGTGTGTGTGTGTGTGTGTGTGTGTGTGTGTGTGTGTGTGTGTGTGTGTGTGTGTGTGTGTGTTTTGCAAAGGCCATTATGAATGGTTCTCGAGAATTGTAAATCTAATACGTTACCTGTCTGGGTTTGAAACTTAATTCGTGTCCTTGACGTAATTTTAGATTGCTTTCTACTCTTGCAAAAACAAATCCCATGTTTTACCCTTTTCCCTCCTACCTCAAGCTCTCAGCACAAAAGGCATGGCTTTGTTCTATAGGCCTGCGGCTCCATCAATCAACCTTGTACATTGTAGTCAAAATATTCATCAACCAACATTGTGAATTAGGTTTCAAGTAAAATTAAATTTGCCGTGGTGTCCTTGGACCAACAGGGACAAAATTGCAATTGCGTACAAAGATTAAAATCAAGTTAGAATGTTTCTCTCTCCCATGGGATACGCACGTAAGCTCCCACGAAATGCTGTCCTTGGACATCTATCTCTATGTAGAGTGAATGTTACCAGCAGAAGTAATTTCCCACTACTCCGGTGGCCAGATTCAAAGCTTGCTTTGATTTTCAAAAAAACATGATTAACTTCTGAGCGTGTTGATTTTATAAGATAAGGACTTTCCGTGTCCTGAATATTCCCACGAGAGGTCATTGAGTCTCAACTGCACCTTTAAAATCTTTGTTCGTAAGTATCAAAAAAGATGTGCATCATCATCTCACTTAGCAAATCAACAATAATGGTGTAGATAAGTATGGAGCCAACGTGCTCAGTTACCATTGCTTCTTTTCTCTAGTCTTTTCTTCCTCATGTCACAATATACGTTATGATAAAAATATCACACTGCCTTGAATCGAATCTTTCTCATTCTCTTCCCCCCACCCCTCTCTGTGCCCCTCTCTTGGTTTGTCTATCTCCTGCGTCTTGCAATCGTTCAACCTGATATCACCAAAAAACATATCTTATCTCGAGGCTAATCTTTGTGTACTGTTGTCGTTATCTATATAATCTAGATATTAAAGACTAGTTTAATTTTACTTTCATATATTGACATTAAAACAGTACAACACACGTGAGACACTGGCTGATGGTGTTGTGTCGAACACATAGAAACAAATATACAGGACAGACAATATTTTCACTTAAGTGGGGAAAGTCATGTTAAGTCCTTTACCAAGGGCACAAGATCGGGGGCATGTCAGGACTGGAACTCTGGACCTCTTGGTTCCGACTCGAGCACTCTGCCAGTGCACCACACGACCCCACAAGACTAGTTTCAATGTTTCATCATCATCACTTTATGCTTTTCATATGATAGTTATTGCAGACCTCAATTTTTTAAGTGTATATAAGGTAATTTATGTTTTATTATCATGTCTATGCTATGTTATGTCCCTATCTATTGTGTACTGTTGTCTGGGTTGTCATATTTATCTGATGGTCTACTGACCATTTTATATTTTATTATTACTAGATTCTCTAAGCTGTAGATTTTCCCAACATAAATACTAACCAAAGCCGTAGGTTGATGCACTGTGTTAAACACACACACACATATACATGTACACACAGACACAAGTAAATGTTTTGCGTTTACAGCTTTAATTTCTTCTGCTAAAGATTGTAGACATCATGGTTGAAATGAAAGCATACTAAGGCAGGTGTCCACGCCAGTGTTAGTTGTCATAGATAGAAAGTCCTAATACGTTCTCCAATCTAATAGTCGTTTTCTCCTCTTGCATTTCATTCAGATACCTGCTTGCCATTTCTAATTTCTATTAAGCTGAAGTTTCTACAACATCGTCTTATTCCTGCATTCATTTGTACCAATACCACAAGGGATTAGAAGCCAAGTTCGGTCCTATTCGTCAAATGTGTTCCTGATTCTTCTATGCTTCTTCTTGGCACAGCCATCCTGTGGTTTAGCCTTATTCATTCATGGGACCTCCTTGGCTGCGCCCTCGGCCACCGCGTTGTTGGCCACGTCCTTTTCCTTTTCCACGTCCTCCCTTACCCCCGGGGCCTCCTCGACCACGTCCCCCCTGGCCCATGGAACCTCCTCGACCACGTCCCCCCTTCCCCATGAAGCCTCCTTGACCACGTCCCCCCTGCCCCATGAAGTCACCTTGACCATGTTCTCCCTGACCCATGGGACCTCCTTGACCACGTCCCCCCTGGCCTATGGAACGCTGCTGACCACGTCCCCTTTTACCCATGGAACCCCCTCGACCACGTCCTCTCTGACCCATTGGACCACCTTGACCACGTCCCCCCTGACCCATGGAACGCCGCTGACCACGCCCCCCTTTACCCCTTGGACCCCCTTGACCACATCCGTCTTGGCTCCCGTCTTCCTCTTGGCCACGGCATCCCTTTGGACCCCCTTGGCCACGTCCTCGGCCCCTAAAACCTCCTCCTCTACCCATTGGGCCCCCCTGGCCTTCCTCGTCCCCGTCGCCTCCTTGACCACGCCCTCCTCTGCCCTTTGGGCCCCCTTGGCCACGTCCTCGGCCCCTGAAGCCTCCTTGGCCACGTCCTCCTCTACCCTTGGAACCCCGTTTACCACGCCCTCTTTCACCACTGTCTCTCCCTTCTTCCTCTGACTCGTCTTCGTCCTCAGGATCCTCCATATCTTGCTTGCCTCCTCTCCCACCTACATAGCTCTTTTGAAAACGGCCCTTGCCTCCCCCTCGCCCTTGCCCTCGCCATTCTGGAGGACCCCTTCTCTTGTTGCCTGCGTCTGTTTCATTCTCTCCCTCATCCTCAGTGGAGTCTTCAGGATCAAATCCCCTACGTTTCATCAGTCCCTTCCCTCGACCCTTACTTTTCTGTCCCTTCTTCTTCTTGCCCTTTCCTCTCCCTGCTCCACCACGCTTTTCGCCCTCTAGAGATTCATTTGATTCTTCCTCTTGTTCCTCATCAGATGATTCTGCGGCACCTTCGTCGTCCTCTTCTTCGTCATCTGACGTTTGTACGCCACCTTCTCCGTAGATCAGTGGCTTCAAACTGTTTGGAAAAATGAAAAAGGTATTTTCACGGCTTCAGGGCTTCTATGAGTTAATTAACTTATGTTTAAGGCAGCCTCGAGCAAATGCATTGTTACGATTACCGAATGTTAGCATTAGCACAATTGACTGACAAATTAATATGGCATCTTTACGTAGTAAATAACTAAACCCGAATATGCTAAAACATAAAAAGGGGTGTTTATTACAATTTATATCAATGGGTCTAGGGTTTATTAATATCAAAGAGATGAATATTTAAATTGATAGGATACAAACCTTGCTAGCAGGTTGTCATCGAGGTCGACTTTATCCAATGGAGAGTCGAGGATCTCCTCCAGGGTCTGGCCTGTTGATGCAAAAGGATCGAATGCTCACTGACTCTTAATACAAACCACATAGACAATGATTTTCCAAAAAGGTATGAAAACTTCGTTTACACGTTGGAAACTGATAATTGACCCTTTAACCCGTGACAAAATAAAACTCTACGAGCAGAACTATTTTTGTCATTTACATTTATTTTCTGAGGATTGGACAAAATTCATCATATACTTATCTAGACCATGTCTTCACACATACAAATAAAAGTAAACGAGCCGGTGAACAAATGAATAACCAATCAAATAAAAACGACCTGTCTGCAATATAAAATTGAAACTACATTATATATTTGACAGTTGTTCACAACGTCAAAGATGAGGCTCTCAGGGAATAGTTTTAGCCTTATTTTGATTTTGTAGCATTACAAAAGAAACCTGCCTACCTTGCTGGTCATCTTCAGCCTTTTTTTCTGGTGGCACGGCGATCTTCTTCTTTGAGACACTCTGCCTTTGTGCTTGAGGAGCAGATACCACCAGGGATACAAAAGCACAGAAGACCAACCCACAGAGAACACCCCGCAGGGTGTAAGAACGAACCATCGCTTTTGTGTCAAGTTTCTCTGAAACAGGAACAGATCAAACCTAGTCGTAGTCCGCGCTTGCTTCTTTTAAATGTTATCAAAACGTCGTGCATTTGCGTCATCATATGAACAGTTTAATTCTGTAGTAATTTCTACCCGTGTGGTCCAAACACTGAGGTATCCTCAAGGTCATTACAAACGACCTTCACTTTTAAAAAAGGATTCAAAACAACCTAGAGCTGCGTCATTGAAGTAATTGGATAAAGCTTTGCTTTTGCATCTACTTCAACTTTCATCTGCTTGACGTGTGGTCCAAACATTGAGATATCCTCAAGGCCATTAGAAACGACCTTCACGTTTAAGAAATGTCCAAAACAACCTTCAGCTGCGTCATTGAAGTAACTGGATACAAAATTGCTTTTGCATCTACTTAAACTTTCATCTACTTGACGTGTGGTCCAAACTTTGAGGTATCCGCAGGGTCATTAGAAAAGACCCTCACTCAAAACAACCTAGAGCTGCGTCTTTGACGTAACTGGATAAAGCTTTGCTTTTGCATCTACTTTGAATTTTTAAGGCCATGTAAAAGGAAATCAAAGTTCTTTGAACTGTGTGGGAGGTCCAAAGGCCATGTACAGCTTAGCTTGAGTCCATGTGTTGTATTTTTGTAGTAGGGAGATTATGGACATGTACTAAGTTTGATTTAGCTTTCCCGTGGGATTTATTGCGCTGCCTCTGATGATTATAGCACCGTATGATCGGATTTCACACATGGGAACAATGAATGGTGTTTTTTTATCAAATTTGAATCAAATCTACCATCGCGGGTTATTTTGTTTAAGTTTCTATTCAGTATTGTACTAAGATCCAACCCAAACGTGACTGATAAAACTATGAAAAGCCAAGTTATTTGACACGTAATTTCCCAACATGAAGTTGGTGTGAAGAAAAACTTTAAAAGATGCTTAAACAGTTTTTCTGTTATTTTTCAAAAGTGACATAAACCACCGAAAGACGCAGAACACTGTGTCGTGTGGCGTAACGGCAGCGTGGTCGGCTCAGAACCACGAGGTCTCGAGTTCGAATCCTGCCATGCCACCGATCTTGTGCCTTTGGGAAAGGCACTTTAAACGACTTTCCTCACTTAATTCAAATGAGTATTGTCCTCTGTGTTGGCGGTGTCATAATTAGAACTTGAAAACGTGAGTGTGCCGTCACCATGTCTTGTCATTAAATGTTGCAATAAAAATCCCCAGTTTTGTGCAGTAGGAAGAGGCTGCATAACACCAAACTGACATAGGAAGACAGATTTTGTATTAATATAAAGATGAATCAATATATATCCGTCACAGTTTTTTTGTAGTTTTACCAAACATTTGGCTTGTAACATATGCAAAGTAATATATACATAAGCTTTAAAAGTCTGTTCAATGGGGAAGCTTGCGTTACAATAAATCACTATATTATCAGATCTGAATGTTAAAAAATGTAATTTTTGTCACTATGTGTCCGGTACACGACGTCAGACAATATAGTATAGTATGTAGTAGTAGTAATAGTAGTAGTAATGATAGTAGTACTACTGGTAGTAAGCATGTAGAGTGCTTACATTTAAAAATTGATTATATCCACATTGTTCAATTGGTGAATGATATGTAAGGTTTGAAGTTTTAACCAAATCGTGAGTAAACATTTCCTGGTGGTTTTTATTTGTATGCAGACCTTATAACAATAGCTTTATAAAGCATTGCCAACTATACATGCTCACTCCAGAGAAATAATAACAAGAAACCAATATGTCATGTTTGTGGTTTATTTCTGATTGTGGTGCGACTTGTGTGTTGCTTTTTTTTGTCGTTGCTAAGCTGCAGCACACAGTGCATTATATCATAACGTAAAGATAAAAATTATTTTGACACTGCCTTATACAAACGAAGGAGAACAAGTCTTCTAATGGCACTATAATTTTGCTAGATTTGCTGCCATGCATTTTAGGTGAAATTTGGTCATGGTGGATTGCCCTTTTGTAAAAGCTTATCATTTGCAGAAAATTCTACATATCTACTAATTCCCCTTCAGTGTACTATAATTCATCATTTCTTTCAGTTCCGAATCTAAAAACTAAAACAAAGCTTTTATGTGCTTGAAAATACGATACTGCCTAAGCACTGCGTAATTTTGTCATTCATTTGTCAATCACAACTCGCTTTTCCTCATCAATATCTGAGTCATTTTAGGACCCAGTTCTTTTCAGGCCTTTACATTTACCAGCAACAAGGTTTCTTTCGTTTGCGTGAACGATTGGCTTTCCGTGCTTTGATCTTGTAATTGTCGTCATCAAGTCCCAAATCGTCCAATATGTCGTCCAATATGTCGTCCACCCATTTCCCTCGACGTCGTTTCTTGCTTTCCTTTCGATTGATCTTGTCATCATCAAGTCCCGAATCGTCATGTTCACTGCTTTCGTCCAAGATGTCGTCTATCCATTTCCCTCGACGTCGTTTCTTGCTTTCCTTTCGACTGATCTTGTCATCATCAAGTCCCGAATCGTCATGTTCACTGCTTTCGTCCAAGATGTCGTCTATCCATTTCCCTCGACGTCGTTTCTTGCTTTCCTTTCGACTGATCTTGTCATCATCAAGTCCCGAATCGTCATGTTCACTGCTTTCGTCCAAGATGTCGTCTATCCATTTCCCCCGACGTCGTTTCTTGCTTTCCTTTCGACTGATCTTGTCGTCATCAAGTCCCGAATCGTCATGTTCACTGCTTTCGTCCAAGATGTCGTCTATCCATTTCCCCCGACGTCGTTTCTTGCTTTCCTTTCGATTGATCTTGTCATCAAGTCCCGAATCGTCATGTTCACTGCTTTCGTCCAAGATGTCGTCTATCCATTTCCCTCGACGTCGTTTCTTGCTTTCCTTTCGACTGATCTTGTCATCATCAAGTCCCGAATCGTCATGTTCACTGCTTTCGTCCAAGATGTCGTCCATCCACTTCGCTCGACGTCGTTTCTGACTTTCTTTTCCATTCTTCGCGCTCTTCCATTTTGGGGCCCTGTGGACGTCAGAACACACAAAAAAAAGTTGTATGTATATCGGTGCACCGTTTACGTTTACTACATCGTTTTTCGGTAATCCTAAATGTTAGACAAAACAACATAACAAAAGATCAGAAAAAGACCGTACGCAAGTCCAGTTTTAGAATGCATGTTGGTGTGTAAGTTTAAATAAAAGGTATGACGTGCAATATGTTACTGTGCCAGTGTTCTTCGTTGGTGGTTGTAAGGTTTTAATGCTGTGTGATTTTGAACTAAGTTGTTCTTGACAGGACCAAATACCGACAAGGAAGCAATACAGCTAGCTGATTCTAATACTATACGAACTTACTATCCAAAGGTCGTACGGCGGATGTCGCCCGGCATCTAAATTCCCTAGCAAATGTGTTAATGAATTCGAAGTTGGAGGCTTAAAGGTGGACCCACTGCAAAACCTAAACTTTGCCAACCGGTCGCTGGTTGTTCAATGCTATGGTTTGTCAGACAAGTTAGGAAACAGACCTTTTACGAATACTTTAAGGTGTGCTTAAACATATTGTTTTCTTTAGTGAAAACACTTATAGCAACCGTGTCAATCTTCTCTTGCTTACCTTTCCTTGAATTTCTTTCTTCTCTCTCTCTTTTTCTTCCCATCCGAGATATCTGTAAACGGGAAAGCATATAATTATATAAACTTGCTCTTAGGCTTCAAAACATCAACACTTGGAAAAGTTAAATGTCAAAGTATGTTCATTGTATTCATTTATTGAATGCATCGTGTTAATCCCTATACAGCATTACCACAACATCAACAGTACACAATGTCATATTGTCTTATTTTAATTGTGCAATGTCCTGCATTTTATCAGAACGTCCACCATTGGTTGTGAAAGCACATTCTTTTCATGCTACATAGTCTTTGTAAGTTAGTAGCATAGAATGTTATATGTACATATCCACACTTGCATCTTGTCCAATTCCTATGCAAAACAGTTTATAATATCTACCGTTACTAAGAAAATGTTACGTACCTTTCTTCTCATATTTCGACTCCGTTTCTATCTCATTGCTGTCCGCGTCATCCTCGACCAAAGCCATACGCTTCAATGTTGCAGCTTAAGAAAAATATGAGATATTTATCCGTAAATGATTTCTCTGGTTGGTCAATGATTAAAAATCATAGTTTTCCTATTACCAGCCGCTTAGCTTCCGTGCATAGTGAACCACATTAGATCACAATTAAAACCAGTCATAAATGCCATGATGAATATGACAGATAATCATCGAAACGTCGGCCCTATAGCTAGTATACAAGTGGTTGTGAATGAAGAACTTTGATGTTCAGACGAAGAGATATTTTAAGGCTTAATTTTTTTATATGTGTGTTCAGGGTTTGGGTTCACACAGAGTACACTACATACAGCACAGACATTGTACACGTATAAAATCTAAAACCAAATTTCACTTGGATGGGATGCTGTAGGGTGATATTATTCGTAAAAAGGTATTTGCTCAAATACAACTGCCACTAGAAGTTTATACTTTTAATTGTGACAATTCGTACATTACAAAATTTGGTAAATACAGAACTAAGGTACACAAGATTTGCATTTGATTGTAGGATTTTTGGATATCACAAAAATTTACTAGAATTCCTAGCTGACCATACGAATATCTTTTTATATACCTCTGCTAAAACACGAAGATCTGTACCTGTCTCTTCGTTTGTCTCCTCCAGCTCTTTTACTTTGCTGTCCACGCCGTCCATACGCTTGCCCAGCTCTGCAACCTTATCTGTTTGAGATAGGAGATAGTAGGCATAACATATCTGTTACTTTCAATGCAAGAAAATTATGGCAAATTTTTTCAGCATTCTGAATCCTGTGCGCTAAACAATCAAAGACAACTTTCAAACTGCATTAACCTCGCGTGGTGACTAATCTCTATGGGCGGGTGTCCTTGGAGTGTTTCGGTCCTATGGTTCGTTCCACACGGCCTCTGCACCGGCAGTCTATCGTTTTGGACGGCATTTCTGATTACTGCCGTCCCATAGACCTAATAAAAAACCCCATAGGGTGGGAGGCTTGGCTGACAGGCACACTCTTAGCACCGAAGAGTTCGAGGAGCCACGACGGCCTGTTCACCAGGCTACTTTAACCAATCGACTGTCAATAGGTTGACATATTGCAGTATTTAAGCACGGTTCTGGACAGTCCACGGGTATCCAGAGCGGTGATTGTGGTAAGTCTACGTTCTGGATATGCAGAGACTATCCAAAACGGTGCCTAATTCTAACCTAAACCGATTACCTTCGGTACTATAGTACAATCTGACTGATGAAGCCAATAATAAAATTCTAGGTTTGGCTAGCTATAGTAATCCGAGCAAAGCCATCTAATATAATGGGAGACCAACCTGTGATTTTTTCGAGTCGTTCATCCATGATCGTCAGAAGTTTCAGCAACTTGCCGTCACCCGACGTTGCCGCCGGCGGTCCCACTGCTTCGGACGGACCGACGAGTTGTTCATTCACCATCGTCGGCAGTTTCCAAAACATGTCTTGGTCTGACATTGCCTCCGAGAGTTTGGTTGCATTGAACGAAGCACCAAGACACCCTGTCTCCAGGAGGGCCAGTAGCCAGAGCATGGTTACCATGACCTTCATGGGGACCATGGTCTTTTAGTTCTCCTTCTCACTGAAAAAAACTTTGAATATTTTTCCGGATGCCAGTGGAAAATCTAGGAATAGGTCTGCCCCACTGCTTAACTTCTGAACGTTTATATACCGTCCTATGAACATGAAGAGTTTCAAAGGTGTTTGTTGGCTACCTTCAGGAAAAGGCTTGACTGATTTGCTCCATGATTATGGCGATTACTGGATCATCACGTTAACCTGAATACATGCTTTGTTCTGAACATTTTTCTCCACAAAATAATCATCTTGGGAGCTTGAAAACGTCATTAGCAGTGAACGCTTATTATTTTGTTTCCCATGGTGATTCATAATATCTGGGTGCTCGTAGTCTAGCTAGGATTATGATTCTGAATGAGTTCGGTAAAACTCGGGCTGTGGGAACGAGGCAAATGATTATTGTGATTACTTTACGGATTTTGAGTTAGAAACTGAAGGTTCTGGGTTTGAATCCATGGAAGTCTCCAGGTGAAAAATGGGTACAAAACTTCGGTTTGGGACGTCCTCTCGGACAGGACATAAAGTTGGAGGTCCCGTGTTTGAGGACACATGTCGAGCGTATTATAGAACCCAACAAAATTATCGATACTTGTTGAATAATATCGTTCATCATCATTATCCGTCGTCCCAGATGGGCCAGGTATCTTTAGTGGGAAACATTCCATGGCTAATACAATACACGGTGATCAGATCATCAGTGCACTTTTTCAGTATATGACAACGTACGAAGATTTAATGATGCTATCAATATATCATGATAATGATAATGCTGAAACATTAGATATAGGTAATTTTTCCCTTAATTTGTTTGGGTCATGCACGTGATAGATACCACACGCTTTGTTGGGATACTATTTGAAAAAAATCGTTATGGACAACCATCAACTTTCCCGTTAATCGTGTGCGTATTGACCTTGTTTCAGATCACTTAAACGTTTATTCTGTGTGTGTCATAATAACAGTATCTTGCTTAGTGTAGATGCTTGTGAGAAAAAAGGCACGTAGGTCTTATTTAATGCTTTAATGTGTTTTATTTGTAAACATATTCAGGCGCGTAAGCGTTACAACGAAGAACGGCTGATACTATAGTCGATCTGCTAATCCAGGTTCAGGTTAATTTGAAACTTCATAAGCCGTCAAGCCCAAGTCAAACATTGAGATCTTTCTATCCGGTCAAACCAAATTTGAGTTAAATTTGAGCCAAAATTTACCCTCCAACACGTATTGCTGACATGCTCTCGAAAACACTATCCAATCACAGGCCAAATAAGGCCGAACGTTCCGCCCATACCAGACTGTTTAAAACCTTTTGAAACATGTGCAGCTTGAGGGTGCTGGAGTATGTACCCTGGCGACTAAGGTGCTCAGTTTGCTGCAGTGATTTGGTATTTTTTCCTAGCCATCATTAGGATTTTCCTCAGCCGTCACGCCATTGCTGTTAAATTTTGGCGGTCAACTTAAGATTGATCGAAAATATGTTTATCCGAACATTTGTGGCAGATTCAATAACTTCGATAATATCCCACCGATCCCAGAAGGACCTCCTTGTGGGGGTTCGTCATTACCACCCCACATATCCTCCTGGCGTCCTCCTCGGGAGCGAATGCCGGGGCCAATTCCCCTGGAAGGTGGTTTCTCAGCACGTCTGCCCGGACCTGGTCCCCGGCTTTTCAGATCACCTACAGAATAAAGGGATCACAATGTTGCGCGTTTCCATATTTACCATTGTCAACAATATGATGAATACTGCCTTTGCGGCCACACAAAGATCTACTTGAAAATTAGGTATAACTAACGTTAACCCGCCCATCGGTGTAACACATCAGATTCGCAAACTATCTACACTGTACGTGATGTAAGAGAGTTCCACTCTAAGAAAGATTTAGGAACGAAACAAGTCATATAACGTTGGCCAACACTGTTATAATGGACTTGGGCAACACTATCCTGATTGTTTCCAGAGACACCACCGCAGACTACGTACACCATAAATCACCTTCCGTAGAAGGTAGTAACGAAAAATGGTTGTGTTCTAACAATTCATCTAGACGTTTGAATTTATCGGATCCAGAATTAAATTGTGGTGCTAAGAGCCAAACCAGTTGGAATTTTTTTGCATGTTATATATACGTCTCTCCCATCATTTATTTACTATGTGTCAAGAAGATACTATTAGCCTTACCTTTTCCCTTCACCTGTTTTTGCAGGTCGTTCACCTGATTCCAAAGGTGTTCGATTGTAGTCTTCATGCTCCTCATCTGATTCTTTAGCCCGGACATGGTGGCTGTTAAAGAGAGATAATTCGAAGTTAATACTACTGAACATACAAAGAAGCTGTGTAGTAGCCATAGTGGGTGATTACATGTAGCAGACCTAGTTAGTCCCTGTTTTATTACGAACTATGCTCAGGCTTGTTTCTGGATAGCCCAAGCCTATCCAGAACCGTGCCTGGGTCAAATATACCCTACCCCTGGAAGGCCGCTGTCCCTTGCGGTCGTTTCCGGATGGTTGTGGTGGTCGTGCCGGTGCTGGCCGTGAGCTCTGCCGAGACGGTGGTTTCTCAGCACGTCTGCCCGGACCTGGTCCCCGGCTTTTCAGATCACCTATAGAATGAAGGGATCACAATGTTGCGCGTTTCCATTTTTACTATTGTCAAGAATATGAATACTCACTTTGCAGCCACACAAAGATCTACTTGGAGATTAGGTATAACTAACGTCAACCAACCCATCGGTGTAACACATCAGATTCGCTTACTATCTAGATGATGATGCCCTTACTGTACGTAAAGTTAAAGAGTTCCACTCTAAGATAGTTTTAGGAACGAAACAAGTTATGTAATGTTGGCCAACACTGTTATTAAGGACCTGGTTAACACTCTCCTGATTGTTTCCTGAGACACCACCGCAGACTACGTACAACTTAAATCACCTTCCGTAGAAGGTAAGAGGTAAAGAAAAATGGTTGTGTTCTAGCAATTCATCTGGACATCTAAATTTATCGGATCCATAAATTGTGGTGCTATTGGTGAAAAAATACAGAGCACAAGCTCGTATTCAACCCCGAGCTTGTGCCTTGGCCACGTCTTAGGGCCCTAAAACCTCCTTGGCCACGCCCTCCTCTACCCATTGGGCCCCCTTGGCTACTCTCTTCTTGGTCCCGTCGCCCCCTTTGCCACGACCTCCCCTACCCTTTGGGCCCCCATGGCCTTCTTGGTCCCCGTCGCCTCCTTGGCCACGCCCTCCTTTGCCTTTTGGGCCCCCTTGGCCACTTCCACGGCCCCTTAAGCCTCCTTGGCCACGTCCTCCTCTACCCTTGGAACCCAGTTGTTCCTCTTCTGACGTTTCTACGCCACCTTCTCCATAGATCAGTGGCTTCAAACTGTTTGGAAAAATGACCAAAAAAGTATTTTCACGGCTTCAGAGCTTCCATGAGTTGATTAAATTATGTCTAAGGCAGCCTCAAGCAAATGCATTTTTACGATTACTGAATGTTAGCATATTAACCATAATGGACTAACAAATAAATATGGCATCTTCATGTAGTAAAAAACTAAACCCGAATATGTTAAAACATACAAAGGGGTGTTTATCACAATCTGCATCAATGGGTGTAAGGTTTACGATTATTAATATGACAGAGATAAATACTAGTATCAAAATTAATAGGATACAAACCTTGCTAGCAGGTTTTCATCTAGGTCGAGTTTAGCAAGTGGGGAGTCGAGGGTCTCCTCCAGGGTCTGGCCTGTTGATGCAAAAGGATCGATTGCTCACTCGCTTTCAAAACAAAACACATAGGCAATGATTAAAAAAAAAAGAAGTTATAAAGACTTTGTGTACACGTTTGGAAGGTACTGATAATTGACCCTTCAACCCGTGATAACACGCAATTTGTCTCATTCACATTTATTTTCTTTTGGATAGGGAGCCTGAAAAAAACCCAAGAAGTCGAGGGAGGCCTAGGATAAACTACATCGACCTCAAAACAGACACCAGCCTAACAGAAGTAGGGGAAATCCGGTCTCTGATGGAGGACAGAGAGGGATGGCGCATGCTTTCAAGTTTTGTTCGAGCGGGGGCTCGACTACAGTAAGTAAAGTGGACAAAAGTCATCATGCACTTATTTAGGCCATATCCTCAAACATGCAAATAAAAGTAATATAAATGACAACAAAAAATAACATAGTAATAAAAAATGATAACAAAACGGTGCACAGATGAATAACCAATCAAATAAAAACAACCTATCTGCAAATTGAAACCACATAATATATTTGACAGTTGTTCACAAACGTCAAAGATGAGGTTCCACCGAGAATTATTAGCCTTATTTTGCTTTTGTAGCATTACAGGACAAACCTGCCTACCTTGCTGGGCATCGTCATCTTTGGCGTTTTTTTCTGGCGGCACGGCGATCTTCTTCTTTGAGACACTCTGCCTTTTTGCTTGAGGAGCAGATACCACCAGGGATACAAAAGCACAGAAGACCAACCCACAGAGAACACCCCGCAGGGTGTAATAACGAACCATCGCTTTTTTTGTCAAGTTTCTCTGTTACAGAAACAGAACAAAACTATAGTCGTAGTCTGCGCTTGCTCTATTTTAAATGTTATCCAAACGTCGTGTATTTGCGTCATCATATGAACAGTTCAATTCTGCTGTAATTGCTACCCGTGTGGTCCAAACACTGAGGTATCCTCAAGTTCATTACAAACGACAAACTATTCAAGTTAGCCTGAATAGATGCTTTGTTTTGAGAATTTTCCCTCACAAAATAATCATCTTGGGAGCTTGAAAACGTCATTTGCAGTGAACACATTAGATTGTTTTTCATGGTATGTCATTAAACCTAGGTGTTCTTAGTTTTAATCTAGCTACGATTATGATTCTGAATGAGTTTGGTAAAACTCAGTCTGTGGAAACGAGGTGTTATTGTGGTTACGTTACGGGTTTTGACTTAGAATCTGAAGGTTATGGGTT